AAGAATTCAGTTCTTGATTTTTGATTGATTCAATTGCTCTTCATCCAATGTTCAGAATTATGAATCTGAATTTTGTGTCAAGAATTGAGATCAAATTTACGATTCAAAATTGTTGTTCGAATCGGCTGAGTCTTGAGTTGTGATCAAGAGTCGTTCCCGTCTCAACCCCTCAAGCTTCGCATCCACATCCACATCCACATCCACATCCACATCCACATCCACATCCACATCCACATATACATCCACGTCAGCGCATTGTGCTTCACCAGCCCAGGCCGTACATGCCCTCGAGGGCGACGCGGCATCGTTAGGCGCGCATGTCAGGGCAACCCCTTATATGCGGTCTTGACGTAGTGGTGAGTGTCATGATAAGCATTCAAGATTGCGTCCTCTTCGCTGAAGCTGTTGCAGTCCTCGCCTTGCTTTGAACAGCTCGCTAAACTGAAAGAGTCTACACTCTCCATCAGCTCGCTTGGTCTCGCGAGGCAGCCAGCGGTTGCTTTGGCTGTGCTTCCCCTTCACCCGCTGCGACGCCCTCTCAACAAAAGCGCGTGGAGTGTCGACCGTGAATTACGCAAGGCACCATGAACACCGAGTCTCCCATGACACCGGCAGTACCGATGGACACTGACGACGAGCTGAAAAGAAAACCGCCTCGTCCTGCCTCATCCACTACCTCCTCCCGCTCTCCTCAAGACAGTCCGACAACGAAAGCGCGCCTACGCGACGAAGCTGAAGCCTGGCTCGAAAGGCTTGCAGCGAGACGCTTGGCGGTGGGGGAAATGTTTCAAGATGTGAGCGAAGGTTGGTCGACCGTCGATGCCGGGCATGAAGACCTGCAGGACTATCTGCTCTCGGCCGCACTTTTGAGGTCTCGCATCAACACGGAGCGCCAGGCCGATGCACATACACCTCGCCTTATCGTCAAGCTGGTTCCTTTCGGTAAAGCTGCCTCCAAGGAGTGTGTCGACCGGCTCAGCTCTACAGCAGCGCGCTGGGACAGACGCAAGAATGACGTCTTGAGTGATTGGCCCAATCAGCGTCTTCACATCATCGAGACTCTCTTCTCGCCAGATCCGAGACCCAACAACAAGGCTTTGCAAGCTCCGCACTTTGAAGATGCTTACAAAAAGCTCAGCAAGTCATTTCACGAATCCCTCTTCGTAGGCGATGGCCACTTTGCTCTCGCCAAGACACTGGCCGCATATGAAGGCGCATTCAGCCAAAAGCATCTAGACACGATGGTCGTTCATTTCGACCTCAAAGCGAAGCCAGGCGAGACCCCTTCGAATATTGCCGCCAAGCAGGATGCAGAGGCTCGTCAGGAGTTGCCAGCCTTCTCGTGGCATTCTCGATCGCTCGCACTCATCCAGAGCAGCGGGACCGGCAAGTCTCGGCTCGTGCATGAGCTCAATGGGCTGCTCTGTGACGACGGCGACGCCGATGCGTTACACTTGACTTTTCCGCTCTGCTTCCGTGAAGAGAATGAGGCCGCCTTCCCTATGGGAGATTGGGAAGTCCTCGTCTGGCTTCGCGAAGACATGGCGCAGTACGTGCCAAGCGCCTGCACTCAGATCTCTCTCCGCGAGCTTTACAGGATGCGGTGGATTGCGTTTCTCCGCAGTATCTACAGGGCAAGCGCCATTATAATAGGGCGCTGCCCTGGAGACACTCCCAATGAGCTACGCGAGTACTGGCTCGAGCAGTGCAAGTCGTCTGTAGATGCTTTGAGCGAGCAACGCCAAGAGGGACACCAGAACGTTCACCTCTATAGTCTTGCGAAAACCGAGGCTGAGGCGTGCTGGCTGGAGGCGGTGCAGGATGTAATCGCCCGCAGCGTTAATTACGACTCGAACTCACACTTGTTCGCGAAAGACCAGCTCAAATATCTGGTAGAAGATGCTGCAAAGCTGCGCTCTCTGCTTGACGACTTCCTTCCCAGAAAGCGCTTGAACGTCAAGATTTGGTTCCACATCTGCTTGGACGAAGTGGCAAATATTCGCCCGGCACACCTCAAGCAGACAAAGTCGGATTTCAGCTGGCTTGAGCAAGTGCGCTCGATGTACTGCCCTGATCCTCGACATCAGATGCCGCCTCTGTTCTGGATCATTATGCTGGGAACCAACGCCGGCTTTGCAGCACTCAGTCCAGCCCAAAAGGACGCGACTTCTGGCCGCGTTGCGAGTGGCAAGCTGGTACAATTTCCGCCGTATCTGCTGACTATCAGTAACCTATGGCTCCGGCGACCCTCCACACTACGGACAGAAGTATTTCTCGCGACTCCTTATCAAGCTACCAGACCACACGTTCTCGCACTGTGGGGCAGGCCCCTTTGGCAATCTCTTGTAGGGTACCAAGATCAGAGTCCGATATTGGGCGACGCTGATTTGACGTTTTTGGGAGGGCCACAGCTCACGTTCGTTCTACAGAAACTCTTGAATCAAGCGGTCAGAAGCCCAAGCGTTGTAGGCCTCAAACTGACTTCGACGCACTATCTTGCGCTTTTGGGGCAACGACTGGTATTGGACGGCGGTCACGACTTTGCCGAGTCTATTGTGTACTGCCGACATCCATGCATTTCGGAGGATGACCAAAAGCAGATGGTAGACGAACACTTGCGCATGCTGCGCAACATCAACCGCACTGGCGACGCTGTTGCTACCTTTGTAATGTCGGAGCCTTTGGTGTCACACATGGCGGCAACGGTGATGTGCGACTGCCGATCGATAGAGTGGGATCACCGAAACTTGGCCGATCCAACTCGAGGGACTCTTTGGGCGCTCTGCTGGCAGGAATTTCGCTATCTCGCCAAAGGTCGCATCGATTATGATGCCGGTTTGTACGGCGAAATCACAGCTCAGGCTATATTTGCCGTGTGCAAAGACGCAGCACCGCGCCCGTCCGCGAACCAGTTAGGTCTTGCTACGATGCCGGAGCCCTACGACCCTGCCTTCCACTTTGTGCAGCTCAGAAGCTTTCTTGAGACAACTTTCAACGCTGGCGACATGTCAAAAAGTTCAGACTGGGCAATGCTACTGGACTCGGCGAAGGGTGCTTGGGTGAATTTCACGCGATTCACACGCCACGACAAAACTTTTCTGGCCGTCACGCCACGAATTCTTAGACTGGCGTGGCTCGGCATGAATGCGATTGTAGGCGCACCCAATCAGTACCACTGGGATTTGATCATTCCGGTTTATTGCGGATCGCTACACGAGCGAGTGGATCACAACGCGTTCACATTCATAGAGATTCAGGTCAAAGCTCACAAAATCTCTTGCAATCAACCTCAACCTCCACTTCTCGAGTCGATGGCGCGCCAGTGGGCCAAACCACCCATTTCCATTCTAATGAATGCAGGCACGACCGGCAATGGCGAGGAAAAGGTGGAGGTGAGCTCCCACAAGAAAGGTAAACGCAGCACTGACGGGCAAGGGCAAAGCACTTGGTTCGAGATATCCACCAAGCGCTTCCAAAGAAGTCATCATCCCGGTCTCGGCATTCTCATGCCAGGCCAATATGCCGGTGTTGCCCATGAGGATTTCACCATCGCCAGGCATCCTTCCCTCACCGACTGGCCTGAATATCAGGAGAGCCTACGGGCGCTGGAGGATACAGAGGAGTGGTTGAGGAAGGCGGCCGAGGAAGAGGAGCCCTCTGAGCAATGAGTGTAAGCGCAGCCATCAAGACGGCTCGACGCTACGGTGTGACGCACCAGCTTGCTCCTAAGACGTGGCACGTGTCCATTCGTTGCTACAGTCCGAAGTAACCCAGAGCGCCTGAACAAGACACCATCCCGTTTTGGGGTAGCCTTCTGGTTGGTCTGTTGCTCGTCCACCTAGATCGAATCGCCCTTCGTCTAAGAGACTCTGCAAGATGAACGCTAGCGCGCCAGTCGCCTGTTTGGTGCGCACTGTATTGGCTCATGACTTGCCCAGCAAGGCTCCACTTTCGAGGTTGCCCCGACCTTTTCTTACGCGCACGTGTCCCGATCAAGATCCGGCCCAGGTCACCTTCACATCCTTCCCGTTCTGTCCCGCTTTCCCACACCGAGTCACACCTGTACACGATATGTAGCCTATTATTCATCCCGTCACGCTTCACCAATGGCCCTCCCAATCGATCAGTGTACGCGTATTCGAGCTGTGAAGGCTCGCTTGCGCATTTTGGAGGTGTCATGCTCCACCTTCGCGCGGGAACTGGCGCAAGACAACGGCCGTGTCGCCCCAGATCCCTGCCTTTTTCATCATGAAAGTCTGTAGATGCGTGAGAAGGGTCTAGAGGCATCCAGACGGATACTGGGGCGCAGTCGTGTTGCAGCATGCGTGACTTTCAAGTCACTAACACCGTTTCACATTGAGTGATTCACAAGGGCGAGGAGCGCGAGCGCTTTGAGCTTTGCTCTGCGTGCATACGTCCCGAATGCATGCTACGGCCCTCACTCACGGAGTCTTGAGTCTTGCTTGAGCAATTGCAATTGAAATCAAGTCTAATTGATACTATCTGTCTCGTCACGATTCAATGAATGGCGCGCGGCAGCGTGCACTTAACGCCGAGCCGGCTACATCATGCGCAGCCCAGCTCACAGCTCAGGGCGCGACTCGGTGATAAACGCGTAGGTGCAGCGGGCAGCGAACGGCATATCCGCGCCTCGCACACGCCGCTGAATGTCAACATCAGCGCGGTGTTTGGTTTCTCTGTCCCTGCCATCACATCGTTTGGCATGGAGCACCGCTCTAGTGTATCCCGCTTGTAGCATTTTGCTGCCCTCTTCGCCCTGCTCGCCTTCCATTTCTTCGAGTCTCTCCTCCGTTCAAGTCGACTGTCAAGTCCGATTGCTTTGGCCAGTCAACCTTGGTATGACCGCAAGCGCGGCGCAGGCGAACAAGAAGCGGCCCCACGAAAGGAAAAGTATTAAAGGCAGCATTCCATCC